TTCAGAAAGTTAAGATAAAAAAGGTTTGACTTTGGATAAAAGCCACAAATTATTAAAACTTGATTTTAAAGCACCATCTCCTTGTCAAATTTAGGACTGTGGGGCGAAGATAATTTTTAAGGCATCCCACATCAGTGAGGGTACTGCTGGACCCAAACAGTATCAACTCTGTCTTTGCTTCATTAAATTTTAAAAAGTTTTGGGCCAACCAAGTCTTGACAGGTAGACAGTCAAACATAATAATTTTGTTGTGTGAGCTATTGTGAGAATTACAGTATGCTTGCTTTTACTCTCCTTTATTGGCAATATAAAAGTAATCAAGATGACTTCATATTATTTTTTAAAAAGGCAAACATTGTCAAGAAGAAAAATATTTTTGTAAGACTTAATCTCACTTTATGGGAATGTATTACTACTTCAAACATAATTGTTTGTTTTTTTTAAGTAACATTATTTAATAACATGTTTCAGCTTTTCCGAAAACTGGAGCAATGCAACACTGAGTTGAAGAAATACAGTCATGTGAACAAAAAAGCTTTGGACCAGTTTGTGAATTTCTCTGAGCAAAAGGAAAAATTGATCAAACGTCAAGACGAGCTCGACCGTGGCTACAAATCTATCATGGAGCTCATGAATGTCCTGGAGCTGCGCAAGTATGAGGCCATCCAGCTCACCTTCAAACAGGTCCGTTCACTAGATACTGTGGGTATTAAGATTACAGCAACAACTACTGTGTATCAAAAATATCTTCTCTTTTAGGTGTCTAAGAACTTCAGCGAGGTGTTTCAGAAACTGGTGCCTGGAGGTAAAGCCACTCTGGTGATGAAGAAGGGTGATGCAGAGGGAGGACAGTCCCAGGATGAGGAGGGTCAGGACAGTGAGAGGGGCTCAGGCTCCCAAAGCAGTGTCCCATCTGTGGATCAGTTCACTGGAGTCGGCATTAGGGTAATTTAGTTTCTCAAATGTGATGTGTTTGTGATGTGTTCAAAGGCTTAACTAACATAAGTGTGGTGGATTTCTGTCTTGTTTAGGTGTCCTTCACTGGAAAACAGGGCGAGATGAGAGAAATGCAGCAGCTCTCTGGTGGTCAGAAGTCTCTGGTGGCCCTGGCTCTGATTTTTGCGATTCAAAAATGTGACCCTGCTCCTTTCTACCTATTTGATGAGATCGACCAGGCTCTTGATGCTCAGCACAGAAAAGCTGTGTCAGGTAAAGGCAAACACATTTATCCAATTCTCAGGAAAAAATACATTTTATAAAGTAAGAAAATCATGATAATGTAATTTTCATTGTTATTACAGACATGATTGTGGAGCTGGCTGGGCATGCCCAATTCATTACCACCACATTCAGGCCTGAGCTGCTCGAGTCTGCAGACAAGTTTTATGGTGTTAAATTCAGAAATAAGGTGAGATTTTGTTCTGAAGTAAAATACCTGGTTTCACTTGTAACCTTGATGATCTGTTTGCACTGATGATGTTACTCAGGTGTATTAAACTTTGCATGTGTTATAGGTGAGTCACATTGACGTGATCACAGCGGAGCAGGCCAAAGACTTTGTGGAGGATGACACCACCCACGGTTAAACACCACCTCTATTTCTTCAGCCTCATACTGGCCCCAGAGCACTTCTGTCAAACCATACACTCTTACAGTAATTTACGAGCATGGTCAGCAGTTCAGGTCCATGACATTCATTTTATTCAGTCTAAATTTACAAGACATTAATAAAATTCAGACTTGGCATGACAAAGCTTTTCGCACTAATTTCCCTTTTTAAAAATACATTTCTTAAGGGAAGTTTAACTCTTTCTGGTAAGATGAGGAAGAGACTCTTGGGACCCAGTTATGGGAGGAATTTGTTAAAGCAAATATGATTTATGTACAGTTTTCATAACATTTGACCCTCTCTTATGTTGACATTTTTACCCATTTTATATCTACATAATTGTTTTTGAAATGTGTACAATTTCCCAACCATAATGCATAAAAGCTTATGGTTTTAGATAATTTACACACAGTGGTGTCATGTGATCATTTACATGCATATTGATGTAAGAAAATGTGTTCTTTCAAATTATAAGAGATCAAATTGTAATTTACAATTTACAATCATTTAAACTCCATGTTAGAATGTAATGTTACTCAAGTGCTCAGTATTTTTGGAAATTAAAGCCCATATGTTGTAGTTTTCAGTCTTCACCATTTTACATGTTCTCTTCATTTTTATATGAAATAAAATATTGAAAAATAAACTCGATTTTGTTTTTGCTTTAAAAAGAAATTCGCATAGACACCAGATGGCGCCATGTTTCAAGCACATTGATTACATGTGTCAGTAGCGCAACTAGAAATATGATGGAATAAACCAGGCCAATATTACATGATGATTTACGTCCTGGCTGAATAACAAAGTTAGTAATTTTTTACTATATACACTAGAGCCTAAACTCTTCACTCAACTACTTTTTAAAATTGTTCTCTGGTGAGTTTTATTTTTGTAATGTTTTTGAAATTGCGTTTTATTAGGCTACTTCTGTTGAAAAGACATACAATGCACACTGACTATATATATGATGTATTGATTTTCTTCATTATAGTTATTCAACTAGAAAAATCTGACTACAATACAGGAAGCATTTTCTTGCTGGCCTATTCTAATATAAGCCTACACAGTTTACACTGGCATTATTAAAGCGCATATGTGTTTTTATTTTCTCTCAAATTACTTGGTTTGGTGGTATAGTGTACAGTAAATATTTATCACAGTTCTACATCAGTCAAGAAACATTTGAGGAAAAGTTGGGAAGAAAAGTGCTGAGTAAAACAGAATTCCTCTATATATGCCATAAACACAGAAAAGTTCACCCAATTGCTAATTTGCAATTTACGCAGAAGGACATTTATCTAGGAGTTTAAACATATTTGGCCCTGTTGAGTCAGTAAGTGAAATTATAAACTTCACCAAAATGAATAAAACTAGATCAAAACAATTTCAGATTTGTAGTAAAAACTTAAATATAAATATGTTAATTATGTTTTATTCACTTTTTCAATCATTCACTTTAAAGTCTCGTTCAGTGTTTGTGTGCACATAATATCCACGCACATGAGGTTGTTCAGGGTTTCAGTGGAGCAGGCCTTTCAAAAGGTTATAACCTTCTGAAAGGCTATCATTAAACCCATGTGGTCCATGATCCTCCTATAATCAGTCTCATGGTCTTCTCAACTTTCTTTTTTGTTGTACCTTTTTCTTATGCATAAAAATATAGAATATAGGTCTATACATTTAAAATATCGGCCAATCGATTCTGGGTGGATAATCCAAGTGTGTCAGGAGCAATACTACTACTACTACTACTACTACTAATAATAATAATAATAATTATTATTATTATTATTATTGTTATTGTTGTTGTTGTTGTTATTATTATTATTATTATTATTATTATTATTATTATGTGATGTGTGAGCTACTGTGTCCAAATAATTTCCCTTGTGGAACAACCAAGTTTGTCTCAGTCATCAGTGTCATTCATTTATTCAGATAAAAGTACAGATACTGGAGGATACAAAAAATAAAAAAATGACTTGTTTCACATTGCTCTAGCTAATTAGCCCTGGTGCCAGAGCAGCTCTGGCTGTCCTGGCTGTGAGACGTTAACAGCCCTGCACTATATCAGATGCCACATCAGATGACAGATCTCTGGGGTATAAGACCTACACTGTGCCAATCTGGTCTAACATTTCCAAACCCCAAGAATAATTATTTCACATCTCAATTTGAGTTGCTTCAAACTCTTAACAGTGTTAAATTGGAGTAATGGGTTCTATTCCCATACCCCATTCCCAATTCATAGGCCTACAACTGACTAACTTTCTAATTAGACTATTTTTTTTCTAATCCCCCAGCATTCTCTCCTACACTTTATAGACAAAATATGTCCTTTTTATCAGTCCACCTAATATCATTTCTTCATCTCTTATTTAAAATAAGCTTGAATCAAAGAACATTAAACACTGGTGTCAAATACATATTTAACATTCACCCCTCTTGTCTCCCTTGTTTCTGTGACCACAAGCTCTCCGTGTCGTGTGTCTGCTCTGGCATGCTTTCTTCTCCATTCTCACACAATAAACACCATATCTTTCCAACCATGTATCTTTGCTCTGTGGTTTCAGTGCGTCTGCAGGTTATAGTAATGTACAGATTATATCAACCCCCATCCTCAGTCTCCTTATCATAAAGAAGACAATAAAACTGTCCAAGGGTTATGTCCAACAGCTTAATTTGTTGTCTAACAGGTGGTATTGGGTAATGGGACCAGGTCATGCCAGCTGACTCACTGTCCCTGTGCTTTAGTGTCTTCTGCTGGACGCATTTCACGCAAGCTTAAATTGCCTTAAAGGCAGCCACAGCCTCTTAACTCAAACTTTTAGAATTAAAAATTTATTAAAACCTGTGTTGCCAGTCAGACTTAAGTCTTCTTTTTCTGACAGACTAATGTTAGATTGTTTATTATTATTGTAAAGAGTAGGAAAAAAGTTTAACATTAATCCACATGATGGCACCATATTGATACACAGCAGTAGAGGGAGCAGATTGCTTTCGCTTCGGTCAGGTATTATGTAGCTTTAAGACCTACAGTATGTGGGGGCTGAAATCTGTGCACATCTGGCCACCCCAATCTAACCAAAGGCAAGCAGTAAGTGGTTATTTTAAGCTAACGCAACCAATAATAATTTTAATAAGATATTTAGCCTAACCTTACAGCAATATAAAGAAGCAATTAACGAATATAAACGATATGCCCTGTCTGTGGGCCTATTTCCTAATAATGATATGTCATTTCTAGATTCAGACTTGTTTCCCTGCCACAGTATCTAATATTTTTCTGTTTGCCGATACCTACTGCACTAAAATAAGAGTACTTGTTCAGACTGATCAGACTGTGTGTGACAGGCAGAGGAATAACCGTGCTGGTGTCCCAGGATGAGCCATGGAGTCGCAGCAGGAGGCCCGCAGACCCCCTCCTCTGATCCAGGGAAGACCCGAGGAAGACTTGGGGCCCCGGCTGATCACAGAAGTCACTCCCCTTATGTCTGCTGGACCCAATGGATTTCTCATGTGTCAAAGCCAAAGGGTAGACTGGCTAAAACGAAGCAACAAACCCCAACTTATAAAGATTAACATTAACTTACTTAATGTCATATTTAATGCATACATTGATACATTGTTAGATGATAGGCCAAATCTATAGTGTTAAATTTCCACAGGACTGCAAAAAGTAATAAGGCAACTGTATGCAATAGTGTTTATAGGATGTTGTCTTTCTTTTAAGAAACAAAACACATAGCTTCTGTTTATTCTTTTTCTGTAGTTAAACAATACTCATCTTTCCTCTCTTCCATTCCTGGGGGCTGTGTCTGTGCTGTACATCACTCTTTATGTTTAGTCCAACAATAAAATATGCAACTGCTGTGAACAAAGGAATTTGCGGTCTGTTAGTGATTCCCCATGCTCTGCTCCCTTTAAGCCAGTTTTATGGGGTCACATGTTCTCTAGATCCTGGGCCAAATGGTAGTGCTGGTCATAACTTCTCTGAAGTCTGGGTTAGCAACAGAGCGGCACAGTCTATTCTGAGTCTGTACTTCCATGTTTATTGTTTGTGTACTTCAGGGCTGTCATACCACATCTGACACATTATTCACCATGTCTTTTGTTTGGTGTCATCAAATCTTTCTTCTGTGCGCTAGCTTGTTGCTTGTTTGCCCACACAATGTAATGGATACTCTTTTCTCATGCAATGTCCATAGCCATATTTGACCTTCATTGAGTAGAGCACATGTGTGCACAAATGGCTCCATGAGCTTAGGATTTTCACATTCTATGCCCTGCTCCGTTCTCATAGAGGTCCGTTATAATGAGGCTAAAGGTAGACTATTAAAGGGGCTTAATTAACGCTCTAAGCTTGTCTAATGACTTCACACATGCCAGCTTAAATCCTTTACAAAATAAACATTCCCTTCTTCATGGGAATGCTCGCCTCGTAAAGACATCCTCCACTACAATGAACATTTTATGGAAACTCAACACATGACTCAAATTACTTATTCACTTGGTTTGTTTCTCATTATAAAATGGACCAGTGGACATTCAGTGTTAAGATTAGCACATCATCTGTAGCCTGTGAAGTGTGTTCCAAAAATGCCCATGAGCGTTACATGTGCTGTAATATACTGTGGGGTTAACAAATTCCCACATGCAAATGGAGACATACTTTTAACTAAGTCATACAGAGACACTGCAAACCATCATAGCTCCAGTTCCATGCATAATCTTTTTTTATTGTTACTATAGATATATTACATTGATTTGACTTTCAATGGTTGTTACGTTGACAACGTTATTTTATTGTAATTGACTTCATTTCAGGGAGGTATTCTTAGAAACCACTTCATGCTACAGCAGGATCTGCTTTCTCAGAGAGCCATAAATAAATAGTAGGATTGTTATTTGTCACATGACTTGTATGTGCTTGGGCCCTGGGCTGGGGTGTGCATGTTTCCTATGTCATGTCAGATGCTACTGATTCTTTAGGAAATGGGTGAGCAGTTTGCATTTAGGGTAGAATGCATTATACAACTTTATATCATATAGGTTTCTTTTTGAAGATCTTCTGATTAGCATTTGTACAGATACTTTTTAAATATAATTTGATAATTTACTTGCCTTGATAAAAATCCTTACTGCTTTTGTATTTACTTGGTGAAGCTGTGGCAGCTCTCATTGCAGCGCACTTGTGTACTCCTAATGGTGATTTATGGGCGAGCATGTCTTACCTGTTGTACAGATGTGAAACCACAGCCTGCTGGACCATTACAAAATGTGAATAATCTGACACTGTCCCAGTGCTGAGGCCAGACCCTCCAGTGATTCAGCAGCTAAATTGATCCCAACAGCAACTGAGTGACTGATGGCATTCCCAGAAGTGCAGTGCCAGTGCCTTTCCTGGCCAGACTATGTAGGGCTGCGTGTACAAGCGGATATGCGTTTGTGTGTGAATGTGGAGGTGATAATCAGCAGTGGCTGCCGGGTCTTTCTTTTCTCTTGTTGTTGTGCTGTATGGAGCTCTCCCAGGCAGGGAGTCCCAGTTGGTCTCCAATGCCCCCCCTCCCATTCCCTGAGTCCCCCTTGAGTGTTCTCCCAGCTATACACTCACTCACTCTCCTGGCTGCTCCTGAAAGGACTTCACTTAAGTTATTCTCCTGACACCGGCTGAACTTTAGGTAGAAGAGCCACATGCATGTAAATTTAAAGAGGAAAAGTTTCTTACTTACTGTGTTGTTGCTGCTGTCGATCAGGGCAGGAAAGTGGCTGAGCCCCTCCTCGTGTCCTGCAGCCGCTGCCCCCCACGGACCGCCCTGTCATCTGGTCATTGCCGTGAGACCAGAACAAGAGAGGAGACTGGTGAAAGTTGCCTCATCAGGATTTGCTGTCTTTGGAGCACTGCAGTTATTTTAAGTGGTAGTTTGGACAGGACAGGGCTGTGGAGGCTGCAGGTGGAACTGGGACTGTAATGTGCTGGAGCTGGAGCTGACAGGACACACTGAAATGCTGGGGAAAGGACAAAGTGTAGGATACCCCATGGACGCGTCCGGTGAACTCATACCAAGGTACGATTGAATCAGTTTCCTCCAAAAAACCTGACAATGGACTCACAAGGAGCGCGGCTGTTCCGCTTGGGCTATGTGGAAAATGCATTAGTTTGGGCATATATACATGAAATGAGTTATGAGGTTAAGTTTGTGGGCTACTCTCTTTGGAACCAGTTCATTTAAACTGATGGAAATAGTTACTGCTGGTAAATCTAAGATTTTTATTTTTTTTCTTCTTTTTAAATATTGGTAGAAATTGTTACTTTCTTCAACAAAAAGATAAGTTAAATTTATGCGTAAGTAGAAGGCGCTATAATAATAATAATAATATATAATGCACCATTATCAGCAGAGTTTGCTTTAGAAACCAATAGCTCAAAAAGAAATACATATAAAGTTGTTGTATGTATTTCTGGTAAATATATTTTTTTGTTTAAAACCTGGTTTTTCACGGTCTACAACGCAGTTCCTTATCCAACTCGGCTTTAGACAACATTGCAAATGTACAATGCCCTGTCTTCTCATAAAATAAAAAATAACATTTAGCTACACTTTGTATGAATAGTAGTAACAGTACAGTGCAGGAAGTATGCATACATTTCTAAACTAGAACCAAGTAGACCATACTAGAATATGGTCTACTTGGTTTAGAAATGTATTCAGTATTTTAAATGTAAATACCTATTTTAAAACAACAATTATATTTATTGTTTTGGGCATCATTTTAATATTTTACACATCTCACTGATGTGAGTGTATCTTGGAATCACTAAAGATTTAACAATTTTGTAACAATTCTAATTGTTTAAATTGAATGATAAAATATTTTTGATAATGTGAAAAATTATATACTTTTAAATTTGTCACTTTAACATTCAGCATGCCTTATTTTCCTGGTCGTCTAAAAGGCGTGAGGGACTGGTGTGAGTAGGCCTGCCTCAGGCACCTCAGAGCTTTCCTCACAGCTCTGTGTGAAAATCCCACAGGATTTCCACTTTATTCACAGGGGCCATATAAAAGGTGTTAATAGGCCTTGCTGTGTCTATTGTACCATTAGCGCAGTCACAGCTACATGACATTTCTTCATCGTGTCATTGTTGTTGTAGGCCCAAAAATGTATTCAAAGGGCTATTACTTTCTCGTCTGTTTGTCTCATATAAAATGTGTAGATTGAAGGTAGACATTGTTTATGTGGTCCAGTCAGGAACTAAGGTGGCTGCTTTGATTATTCTGTTTGCACCTTTTTTATTTGAGCTTGGAGTCCCACAGTCTTCTGCCTCTTGACTTCCATCTCGTCCCTATTACACTCCATCTTAAACATGTGCTCAGGACTACATGCGTGTGGGAGCTACTGTGGCCTACTCTTACCCAAACTGAAGTGCATTAGAACCCCTCCTAAAGGTTCATTTGTACACAATGAAATCATCATAACTGACCTGTTGAAAGTACTAGATTTGGAGGCTGTTTGGAACAATACAACTTTAATAGGACTTAATACTTCATTGTCTGCAACAACAAGACAGATTGTGTTGTGAAATGCGTTCCTGTGAATAGATTTACTGAAGGGATTTACACCTAACTGGGATAAGCATGAGTGATACACATGTGATAATCCTCAAATCATCTCAGATCTGGGGTTTTGGGGGCTGCTATAAATGAATCTGCCTGCTATGGCCTCCAGTCTCTCCAATACTCCCATTTAAACTGTTCTTCATAGTGTACAAATACATATACATGATTACGCATACAACTGTGTTTGAGGAGTACATTCATATTTTTATTCGGATGTAAGACAAACATATTATAAATTTCAAATGAAAAGTTGCTCATCTAAATACTTTTACCTCTGACCTTCAGTCAGTGTCAAACAAATGCTAAAGTTATTATTACAGAACTTATACAACACTTAATCCACACTGTGTACTATTCACAGTTTTTGTTTTCGTAGGTCCCCTATTTTTAGGATGTGGCTTCATTTGTGTTTGGGCAAATTAGTTCTATTTGATTGTCTGACTCAGCGGTGAGTCAGACACAAATATAACTGACCCTTATGTCTTTGTGCCCTGGTCCACTCGCCGTACGCTTCTGTAACTATTAGCTTGTGTGAAGGGGTTTGACAGCAAACTTTACACGCTCCAACATTTATAGGTAACTTTATAGCTGCAGAATCTTCATTTCCATATAGAGAGGTCAGAGTAAAACTTGTAAATCTGACAGTGACTAGACTACATGAATGTAGGATTGGGTGATAATGTGACAAAAATAAAATTTCTTTTTCCCTGACTGATTGATGATCAATATTAAGCTTTTGAACTTAAACAAAGCATAGTTTTAATCACTGCCATTTAAGACACAATAAAAAAATATATATATATATAAAAATACATCTTACTCCTAAGTCTGAACCTTGCTTCAAATCACTAACCACAAAGTACAAATACTGGCTGTATATCGATCGATTTAAAAAAGCCCATGCTTATCATTGATTAGAAATTCAATTAGAAATAATTGAATCTCAATCTCGATTCAAGTACAGTTAAATGCACAGCCATACATGATGAGGATGAAACCATTTACCTTTTACATATTTTATTTTTTATTACAATATTAAAGCAAAGATCCCAACATTTACCATTTATTGTATGTGTGAAGCACTTTGCACGCAGTTGTTTTAAATGTGCTATAGAAATAACATTGACATTGACATAGGCACAATGTCTCGTGCCACTGAATGAAAAAAATACATATTAACACAAATACAATTTGTAGTAACATTAGATAAAACAAAACAAATGACTTGTCAAGAATAGCATATTTATTGTATTTTACTGTATTTGTAACTATTGATGTTGATTATATTTATATTAATTATATTATTTTATTATATTAATCAAATCTTGAGAGGCCATGGCAGTTTAAGACTTAATTTTAAGATAATTTATTACCACATTGGAGTATATTGAAAATCACAGAGGCACTCTAATAAAACAATAATACATATTTGCTTGTATTGTGAGCCATGCACAATTTCTAGTAGATCGTTCATACCGTTTCGTTATTGCCGATTTTATATGGTGTTGATTGAAACTGATGACAGTTTATTATCAATATATAGAGTGTTCTTAACATGTAGGTCTCATGTAGGTAAGGAGGCTGTATTAGTGTCTTTTCTCACTTGTGCAAAACTTGAACCCCAACCATTTGCATTTACCATTTACAGGCTCATTTGAGCAAGTTTTTGAGCAAAAATATTGTCTAATAAGTGCAGTTAGGATAATCCCCTAAAATATTGAGATATTATATTTGTGTCATCCACAGCTATAGGCACAAGTTCAGTATAACTTTATAATCATAATTATATATTTCAGGAAGACAGTATGATTGCTATATCGTGACAACTTAGTATTGTTTCAATTTGTCTTCTCACAATCTGTGCTCTGACGTAGTTCTCTTAACAGCCAGAGCAGTTTACCTATAGAATGTACTGAATGCATGCCTCGCTCCAGGTCTGAGGCAGGGAGCAGGCCTGTGACAGCATTAGCCTGCCCTTGTTTTAGGCTGCACTGACAGCTGAGGCTCAGCACAGTGCATGTGATGTACAGGACAAAACCACTGGCTCATATCCACACTGGAGCTGTGCTTCTCTACAGAGGTTGGATTTTACACCAGGTAAGACAGACTCCAGAGCTAGTGATTTGTGTTTGACTCTAAAAATGTGCACAAGTGTACAGAGGTACCGTTCTGTTACTCAGATTATGTGGTATATACAATGTACAAGCGACCACATGCTGCCTTCTCTGCAATGTCTGCAATAATTTGACACAATTTATCTTCATTTCTCACACCATTTCTGAGTAAAATAGAATCACAAGTTTATGAAACATGATATTCATCACACCAGTTTATCTTGTGTTTAGTGTTTATGGCCTCTAAACTCATAATAATCCTTACATTAGTAGTTCACCTTATTAAATAGTCATGTAATATAACAGCGTTTCATAACAGTGGCTAGGGCTGAATTCTTTATGGTTTTGGTCAGAAACGCAGAGATCTACATCTTTGTATTTATCTGCCAATCTCACAATATTATTATTATATTTTCCCGTGTACCTGGATGACTGAGGGGTACACAGACATAATAGACATGTAATAGACATAAGATGTGTGTATTGTGTCTATTTAGTGGACTGGAGCTGGTGAAAATTTTCAGTGTAACTTACTTTGATGCACAGAGGAGGTGGTTCAAACAATAGTGGATCAGATTACATCAAACAGGTGCACATATTTAAATATTAGGGACACATGTGTTTGTGATCCCACACTATATGCTTTGGTAATATAACGCTTTTAGTGATTTATGGTACCTATAGACCTTAAAAGTTAATTAATGGTACAGTTGTTATACAATTCTAATTTGATAAATTCTTTTTAGAAATGGCTATTGGCGAAAAAAAAAAAAAATCCCACTAACTGTTAATAAAACTCTGGTGAATCCTGTGTTTGTTATAAATGTATAAACATGGCCACACACTGTGCTCTTGTTGTTTAGGCAAAGAGCAGCATATGTATGTTCTAAAAGGAGCTTTTCAGCGTATCGTCTTGCTTGTCTCCAGACGCAGATTTATGGCCATGGGGCCGTACGTGCTACTGCCTTTAGGGAAGTGTCTCCTGTGTGTTTCACAGGCCAGAAACTAACTAAATTATATGATATGTGTAATAATATCATCTACAGGTTTCTATTCTAACCATTTGTAGCAATTAAAGTGGCACAGTGATTTGTGTTGGTATCAGTATATAGTTGGACATGTAATTAATAGGGCAGTCTCACATTGCATTTCACATGTTTCTTTGGGTTTTTCTCCTTTGAGGCAAAAGTGAGGGCTGGGCCAAACTTATTAGTTACTTATGAGTATTCAGCCCAGTGATCATAAGCAATCTTGATCTATCCTGAGGTCACCTCAACCAAAAGCGTTCAGGAGGAATTTTGGGAGTGGGACGAGACACAATTCCCACAAGTT